ACCTCGTTGAAAGATGAACCCAGACTCGAGTGTTCATCGTTTTCTGTTTTGGTTTGTTTTTAAGATAAAGTCCTAAAGTGATTATTGAAAAACAATCCACGACAAAGTAGTAAGGAATTAGAAAAGATGTTAAACACATCACAATCTACATCGACATTTAGAAAAGATAAACAAAGTAAGCAAACTGGATATTTAGATTCCATTACGGTCTTAGCCGATTAATTATTACGGTCTTAGCCGATTGTTTATGATCAAAAACGGAAATTACTTTTTATTTTAAATTATTATTTAAGAAAATAATTTTGTTCATTATTTGTTTTGTAATCCCATGCCAAGCCATAACTACTGACCTAGGGCAAGCGAAGAATTTTTTGCTGTTTCCACAAACAAAAGACAGCTATTAAGAAAAATAAAACTTAAATATACAACGCTCTTAGCAGGATATGAGCTGTGCCTGTCACAAATATTTTTTTAATTTCCTGGAGAGATGGTGCACCAGAGATTTTATTGATTTGTTCTTGAGTTCCTTTCTTTATTGGACCCAAAGTTCCAACCACAACAGGAACAGTTTTAGTTTTTTAAGTGACACTTTTTTTTCTATTTGCATCTCTAGGTCTTTGTATTAATTTTTTTTTTCAAAAACCTTCGCGGGGATATTTTTGTCACTTGGTACGCACATGATGATAAACTTTTTTTTCTTTTCTGCCTTCGATAATAATGTCTGAGTGATTTGCTTCTATTGTTCTGTGTTGATAGACAAATCCTAGAGGATAGTAACATCTGCTCCCTCACCTACAGATTCAAGATGAGACTTATGCCAGTTTTCAGCTGTTTTTATGCCTTAGTGATGACAGATCTTCCAATGCAGATATTGACCTAACCTATCATGACGGTTTTTGTATTCATTTGGTGTGAGCATCTGTGTATCCGGAGATAAGGTGACAAATAGTTTCAATATATTGGTCACAGAGCCTACATTTTTGGTTCGTACTATTATGTAAGGTGTTAGCTTGGTAGTTGCGTGTAAGCAGACTCTGGTCCTGTGCAGCAGTAATAAACCCTTTAGTCACACCCTTAATTCTCCAACTCCTTAGCCATTTGTGGGATGCAACATGATATACATCAGTCTTTTTACTTTGAAGGAACTATGTAGAGGCCTTTGGCTCCAACTTTCTTTTATTTGCTTTTGGTCTAGCTTTTTCGCTTCTTGTTTCAGTTTTTAGCTGATTTTGAGGCCGTTGTATCTTATTCACTGTTATTTTCATGATTTAACCCACATTCTCTTGCATATTTATCGGATATTATTATTATTATAGCATACCTACGGACGATAAAGGGTATGTCCCCACTCACATGAATACAGTAGTTTTTACATGCTACATTTTTTCAATTTCTATCTTCAGGTTTTTGTATTTGCTTAGTTTTTCGAAAAAAAAAACTTTCGCAGAGATGATTTTCTCATTTGGTACGCTCATGACAGTCAGTTTGCAAACTTTTTATTTTTCTTCCTTTGATAACAATGTCTGGACGATTTGCCTGTATTGTTGGATGAAAACTCCCAGAGGATGGTAACATCTGCTCTCTCTCAACTACAGATTTTGGATGATGTTCATACCAGTTTACAGATGTTTTTATCCCTTAGTAATGACCTACCCTACCATGATGCTTTTTTTGTACTCAATGGTTGTGAGTATTAAGCATGCTGAGAAAAGTTAATCAATAGTTTCAATGTATTGATCACAAGACTTACATTTTAAGTTTGTATTATGCAAGATATTAGCTTGGTAAATGCTTATAAGCTAGTCCTGTACAGCAAGATTAAACACACTATTTACATTATTCGGACTATTGTCCTAATCTTTGTTGCCATATTTATCACAACGTTTCGACCGTTGTACGCTCCGGCCTTCAGATGGTTGGAATGTCGAACTGAACCCTTTATTTCGCTTGCTGGGGTAAACTGTTCTAGTTCCATGTGCCATGTCTAATGGGTGTTAGTTATCAGTTATCTCCTGTTAATTCACCTCTCCAAGTTCTCCACTGCCTTAACCAGGTATTGAACTCACAACTCTCCTCAAGGACACATGGCACAGTAGATAAAGGCGTTAGTTAGATCCAGTGACAGGACCCAAAGAGTTGTAAGTTCAATGAGTTCCTGAGCTGTAATAATTAGGCCTTCTATCCCAGCTTACAACTCGGTGCTCCTCGGCCACTGATGTATTTTCTGTTGGTCCACATCTGCTTCTTTCCTTCTTTTTATGCGTTTGCCATGCAACACCTTGTCCTCCCAGGGTTTTTTTGAATTTCATTTGGCCAAATTGTTTTACTTTCTGTTTTACTCGTTTTGCGTAGATAGTATTCGCTTCATTTTTTTTTTTTTTTTTTTTTTTTTTTTTTTTTTTTTGTTGGTAGGATTTCAGGTATATTGAGGTGTTTCTTGAAGAGTGCAGTTTCTTTGTTGATGGAGTGGATTTGGTGTTTTAATATTTGCAGGAGAGAGTCTTTGGTTTTTGTGAGGTATGCTTCTAATCCGATTGTTGTAGTTTTTAGAGTTAATTCCAATTGGATTAGACCTCGACCTCCTAAAGCTCTTATTATATACAGCCTATCAACATCTAATTTCGGGTGGCGCATCCTCATTTGGGGAAATATTTTTCTCGCCTTAGTTTCCAATATTTTATTTTTATTCAACTTCCATTTAATAATATTTAAGCTGTATGTTACTACGGGTAATAGTTAAGGTCTTCATAGACTTCATTTTATTAACCCCCATTAAGTTCGTTTGCTAGTATCAAACGCACTCTCCTATAATATTCTTTACTGTTTTAATGTTGTATTCCATCTCCTTCACTAATTCCTAAGTATTTGTATGTACCTTATTGGTCTAGTTCCTTCATCTCGCTATCAAGGTCTAAATCTGTAGTTTTCCTTAGTTTACCACCTTTGAAGGTGGCTTTGGCATATTTGTCGATTTCGAACTCCATCTTAATGTCTTCGCTGAAGGTTTTGACAATGATGAGTAGGTTTTTTTCTGTTGGTTTTCATCTTTTGCAAACGTTTTAAGATAATCAATACAGAATAGGGGATTCAGTTTACCATTCTGTGACTTTTATCCGTAGCTACTGTTGTTCAGTAAGCAGCTGAGTGGCGCTAATGCAAGGCAGAAGTGTAATGGCGATAATGAATGTCCTTGGAAGATTCCGCTTTTGATGTTGTTTGGTCTCGATATTAATGTCCCGTTTGTATGGTTTGTTTAGTGTATCCCAAGCTGATCAAGAAAGTCAATTTTAATGGGATTGATCTTAATGTGCCAATCGCCACTGAGATCACCTTGACATTCTCTTCCCACATTCCAAACAATCTTGCCGTCTCAACTTTCAAATCAGATTAGTTTGTAATTTTCTCAATAATCTTGTTTGCTACATTTGTGTTATTTGGTATGGCAATCATCAATAATATGACAGTGCTTAATACCTTTATCAAGTACAACAATATCAGTATGGCGAGGGTGTATTACTGTTGTAGCATACCTACGGACGATAATAAGTATGCCTGATTCCCATAAATACAGTAGTGAATACTGTACGTGGTCTAGAGTTGGAGATTCATCTCCAGCTTTGCTGGTCAAACAGTCTGCCTCCGGAAGGCGAGGATTCCCAGACGAGGCTATGTCGAAGGTCAGTCTAGTCTCCGGGTAATTTTTGGCCGAGCCTACGGGCTCGGATACCCCACATTAAATTCGGCCTTGTGCCAATCTGACCGCGTGGGGCGGTTGGTAGATATCATAGTTAGAAATTCATTGTGAAATTCACTTGACTCACTTCTTACAGTTGACTACTTCTTCTACGCGCCGCTGGCGAATCTTATACGTGTTGTTCTTGTCCTAAGTATTATCGTACATTACCAACTTTCGTGTAATTATTCTATTCATTAACCTTCTCTAGGTTACAACAGTTACTCTGCTTGAAAATCATAATCCCATGATATTTTGGCCTTTCCAACTTCTTCAACTATTCTATAAGGCACATGCTCGTATCAATTTTTTGCAATTTGGTATTCATACTTTCGACACAATAAGTTATTATTATTGTTATTAATAATAATAATAATTTTTATTTTCTTTGTCTTTCCTCACTTTTTAAATATATTTGCATATATTATGTAAATATACACTTTTTAAAAATGTCCGTTTTTTGAATCTATAATGAAATGTTATGCCTTCCATAAATTATTTAACATATTTCTTTTATCGAAAAAAAAGTTGATTTGATAATTTGGGGCTGTAACTTCTCGTTTTTTTTTGTTTTTTTCAGAAAGTAAATAATTCATTTGTTCATTTATACAAAGTTTAATACTCTAAATTTATCATTAAAGAATTTTCTCGTTCTGCAATGATGCATACACTATTCTCGCATAATGCTGAATTCGATCCTTGTTAAGTGTGTTCTAAATTCATCCCTTTGCTAAACCGAATTTATTTATGGAACGATATAATAACATTATCCACGAGTTAATATCACAACAGAATGTAATTCTTTTTAAATTTCAGTGAATATCATATTTCGAGCAAAGAGTGCTTTCTCCAACCCACGAACAAACTGGCGTTATATAATCTTCCGAACATTCTAAACTTTTCGACTGCAAATATCATATTTACAAAACAAGTAAAGTCTCTACGAAGATGGGCAGTTAAAAGAGTAAGCAAATAAAACCGAACAAAAACATTGATCTTCAAGTATCACATTTCTAAGGGAATCCATTGTTGCTTGCATGTACAAATAAATCCTGTTATGCTGTTTGTGTTTTGTCGTTTATAGATTAAACATCTGACTGAACTAGGCAGCCGGTGTTCAAATTGGGTTGCTATTCCAATGCAGTCGACTGACCAATCAACCAGTGTGCGTCATCACGGACGCTGGGTAATGTCGAAGAGCTGGGTAAACAACGCGATTGCCGTGTAAAAGAAAGATTTTCGTCACATCCGGTGTATATCCATGTGGTTAAGAATAGTTAGGAGGAGAAAAAAACGTGATCAGGCATTTAGTAAACTTGACGATTCGGCGAACACGTCCACGAGTTGTTTTCACACAGAAGAAAGATAAATCAAGAGACTGGTGGGTCAAGTAATCTGAGGCTCAATTTTTCACCACAAGGGTGTGAAGTTACGCACATACGCACACACATAAACACACACACAGACAAGTCGCGCACAGATAGATAGATAGATAGATAGATAGATAGATAGATAGATAGATAATGAATGTAGATAGATAGATAGATAGATAGATAATGAATGTAGATAGATAGATAATGAATATAGATAGATAGATAGATAGATAATGAATGCAGATAGATAGATAGATAGATAGATATGGACTGAGAAAGAGAGAGAAATAAAAGTTAAAAATACATTTATTTCTCTATTAAGTATTGTTGTTAATACGAGGGAAAATAGAAAAATCAGGCGTGGCTCACCATATATGGAGGGAAAAGGAAGATCACTTCCCTCTCTGTGGGATGAAGTTGAAATAATAGACAGAGGAAATCATTGGAAAATACGAAAACTTAAGGAAACAGTACATATGCTATGCCACAAAAAATGTCCTGAGCCGACCAAGCATAGAATAACAACAAAATTGAAATATGAGCTCTGGTAAAAAAAAATGGTTATTGAACCCTTTATTTCGTCCACTGGGGTAGAATGTTTTAGTTCTACGTGTGGACACATGGCCTAGTGGATAAAAGCGTTGGTTGGATCTAGTGACTTCACCCAAACAGTTGTGAATTCAGTACCTGGCTACTGCAGACAGTTGAGTTAAGGGGAGATAACTGAGACATCCGGAACAGGCATGGCACGTGGAACTAGAACAATCTTCTCCGGTGGACAAAATAAAAGGTTCAGTAAATTCCAATCACCTGAAGAACGTCGGGAATATAGCAGTAAAGATGGGGACAACAGTCCGAATGATGTAAATGATTATGATACCTCATCTCAGAAATATAGAACTTTCTTCCTTGTTTAGTATTGAGCAATTTGTTTATAAAAATCGAATCGCTTTTAAACTCGTTAAATTCCAGTAATTTGTTTGTTAGGCGTCAACTATAGATAGATAGATAGATAGATAGATGTAAACAGAACAGAAATGATTGTTTTGTTAGGCGTCAAAGATCTGTGTTATCATTTGTTTTGTTATTCTCTTCGACTCTTAGATTTTTCGGTCGGTGGCGGTGTTTTTGCTTCGACTTACAGACGCGACACTTTCTTTAACACATGAGCAGTGCCAAGATCTCCCAATGCTGCCAGAATCTTCAAGACATCTTACGAAGCAATACGAAATAGTCCCGATGCGCTAACCACAAAAAGTAGAATTTGATCTGTGGCTTAGTTCTGGCACCTCTGTTTTTTTTCTTCTTTTTATATATATATATATATATATATATATATATATTATAATTTTATCACATAGCCAAAACCATTTTTACTCACTACAAAGATGCAACATCGTTTCAGTGCATTTCAACTGCACTTCGACGGGTGACAATATTCACACCCGTCGAAGTGCAGTTAAAATACACTGAAACGAAGTTGCGTCTTTGTAGTGAGTAAAATGGTTTTGGCTATATGATAAAATTATAATAAATAAATAATTATCGCTCTACTGTCGGTAGCGAGCCCTCTTTTGGATTAATGCTGTGAACGTTGGAATTTATATATTACTTTCGTTCTCATCGCATCGGATATTATATATATATATATATATATATATATATATATATATTTTATTTCATCATAATTGTATTCTTTCATAGCAACTATAGATAGATAGATAGATAGATAGATATGGACTAGGTAAACGAGTACCAGAAATCCTATTTTTTCTTTATTTGAAATTACGAATGAAGATCTGAAAATACAAATTAAAGAAATTGTAATTAACATTACTATATCACGATGTTACACATAGATAATTCTTCCATCCCCTTCCGTGTCATTAGTAAGTTCTTCCAAAATATCAACAATGGCTGGTGATAATGTTGAAACTCTCTGACAACCGTTTGTATATCTATCATAATTAAGATATGAACATAATTTTTATCCAGCAACACAAAAAAAATGCGGTTTGCGTTTGAAAAACTTGTATGAATCTGGTATGAATTTGGTGAAACGCCTCTTTTAAAATCAATTGTGAACTAAGGTGATGCATTCAATAAAGTCATTCATGTATCAAATAATGAATAATGTTTTCAGTTGTTCTTCCCCATTAGTAGCTGTACATAATCATGTAGCCACTTCGGTTTCACACTATGTCGCGTTGGACGTCACGGAATTGCAGGTGTAGGTGTGGTCGTTGTTGGGGGAACGGGTGGTTGTTCCTTAGGCATTGACCATGGTTGCTGGTAATAAATGGAGGTGAGGCACATGGATCACTCACTGGTCGTGGTATTTCATGACCATTGTCATATTCCGGACGATTAATATCCCCGGACGGGAGCCGTACTTATGCACGTCCTGGTGCGTTATTCTTAGTGACGTTGCTGAGACCAGTGGGTGAAACGGTATGAGTCTCAGTTTTTTATTTGGGGGGATGTTGGGGGGGTGCATTAGTGGTACATTCAACTGAGATACATTAGGTCCATGTTCGCTGTATAGATCGATGGCAATAGTCCGTCGTACCGGAAGTTCATATACTGGAGAGTAACGACGGAGAAACTTCCTGTTGCGCAGTGTTATCCTTCCAGACCCATTAACGCGGACGCCATATTGGTCGAATTTCTTTGACCCGTCCTGTTTTGTCATATTTTAGAGAGTGATGGCCGGTCTGATTCTGAATTCTGACTAAGTCACCAATCTTGAATAGCGGAAGAGGCTCTGAATGCTCTCTGAGACATTCTCCTCTTTTAACATGTTGGTTCAGCAGAGCAGCTTCCCTTAGAGATAAGGTGTCTAGCCATGTGTCATGAGATTTGTAACGACCGGCTTGTCCAAAAACACACATAGGGGGGGGGCAAGTTTCGTGTCTCTATCAGGGATATTCCTGTATTGTAGATTAGCACGCTGAACGGCATCTATGTGAAGGTCGCCGTTCGGTCCCGTGTTGTCAGTAATGAGACGTTTTACTGTTTTGACACTGACCTCAGCTCTACAACTGTCGTGAGGGAAAGCAACAGTCGATGATGTACACGCGAGGTCTTTCAAAAGTTTCTAGTGTCGGCTGCTGTAAAGTTTGGACCGCCATCAGAAGCCATTTCGTCAGGAATTCCAAATGTAACGAATGTTTTTCGGAGACTATCGATTAGGCCTTTTGAGCCGTTGGTTGATCTCTCAACAATAAGCCAGTTAGAATATCTGTCAACGATACTGCTGTGACCAAGTAAATGGTTAAAGAAATAACAAACAAGTGTCACAGAGATATCAGTAAATAGTAAGTACAACAGAAGAGTATTACACGACTGATGAGTGTGTGTTGGTTGGTCCAGCGTTCAATCTATACGACTGTTAATATTTAACAGACCTCCACGAGGGATGTATGTAGCACAAGGCCGAGTTTACCGTGGATTCTCTGACCCCGTAGGCTTGGCCAAAAATATTCCCTTCGAACCGGTATAAACGGGTTCAGGGTCTGTCTACCTCCCGGGACGAAACTTTGCCCTTCGGCAAAGCCTCGTCCGGGTTCCTCTCTGGCCAAAGGCAGAGAATTCGAAAGCAGCTGCGAACAGTCACAGCCTGGTAGAACAATCTATCCGACTGTTCCCCTAAGGCCTTCTCTCCTACTAATCTTATAGTAGGCGGAAGAGTCCAACATAGACTCTTTAGAGGGAGGACACCACAGCAGACACGAAAGTAATTCACACTTCTGTAACGGAAAAGAATCAGTACACACACATTGAAATGGGTACAGGGGGTACACAAGATGTGTCGGAAAAGCACTGCGTTGTGAGGGGTCATGCAATTGCAGTGGTTACATTTGTTTCTCATACTCATTACATCAGCTATGATTCCCGGCCAGAACACAGATGTCTCTGCCCTCGAAGTCATGGAAGTAATACCCTGATGAGCTGAGTACAAGCGACGTAAGAATGTCCTGTTGTAAGAAAGATGGGATAACGATCCGATACTTGAAGACAGCGACATCGTCAACTGTAAATAAATGTTCCCGGAATGGATAGCATTCTTGGAGAGAGTGTGATATGTCATCGCCTCTATCATCTCAACTAACTGATGCATGATTTCATCAATAGATATAGCGGTACGAATATTGTAGATTACCCACTGAGCATGCAGAAGATGTGGAACTCTAATATGGACTCTGGGGCTCCATCCACGGTGTTGCTATGACGTTTGGAGTATATCAATGACGACAGATTCATAGTATGGGTATCACTACCTCTCTGGGATACTGACAATCAGCACCACAGGTTCTGGGTCACCATTTGGATTGCGAGACACAGCGTCTGGTGCACGGTACTTCACATGTACAACATTCTGAACTTAAACTTGAACGTAAAGTCTTCTTGTTTAGATTAAGGAGTTTGAGATTAGGGATTTTCTCAAGGGATTTGTCCCCGATAATCTTCAGCGAGTGTTTATGGTCGACTGTGATGACAAGGTTGTCACACCCAAACAGAAAATAGCGGGCTTTTTCGAGAGCGACTACAACTGTTAATGCCTCTCTTTCTACCGATGAGTATCAAGATTTTGCAGTGCTTGTGAATCTACTTCCAACTAAGGTAATTTTCCAACCTTCTGTACAGCAAAAGTGCACATTTCCTTCACATTTGCAATGTTTTTGGAAGAGTCTGAACCCTATACCATGTTTCGACCAATCTGTAACTCAGCACGTTCGCTTACTCCAGTCGAATATGCGTACGCCATTTTCTATCTCATTGATTACCATAATCGTGGATTCTTAGAAGAGGTCATCCAGGCTCGAATCCCACTTGTAGGGTATACATGGCTTCAACTGACGGAATGGTAACGCAACATCCGGTTTATCATAATAAACGTGTATGAAGCACGGTTCACCAAACCGAACCAAGATGTTAGTAATGGTTTTTGGCATTGGGAAATCCAGAATGGCAGGCAGGTATTTTTTGCAAGGTCGAACACTATCAGTCTTGATTCCAAAACCAGAAAATTTCACATTATCCTGAACAAATATAAACTAATCAGGATTGAGAGTGATACCATATATTTCTAGCCAATTACATGCCTGGAAAAAGCTCTCCTCGATATTGTTAGCACAGAGGAGGGTATCAACCATGTATTTTGCTTTCTTGAGAACCTCACTAAAGACCCCATCAAATATTGAATCAATAGCTTCATCTACCGCAAGAAAAGTTGGTTTCTATGTCGTGCCAGAAAGAAGGTTTTCTCGCCAAAGTCCATCCTTCAAATCTATAAATCAACCATCCGTCCTTGCATGGAATATTCCTGCCATATATGGTCTGGTGCCCCTGCTGTACGTCTCGAGATCGTCGACAAAATCCAGAGACGAATATGCAAAATGATAGGTCCTGATCTGGCATCTAGTCTATAATCGCTTTCCCACAGACGTGCCTTGGCTTCCCTTTATCTCTTCTGCATATATTTTCACGGCAACTGTTCTGACGAACTACTTTCACTGGTTCCCAGACTGCATGAATTTAAGCGAGCTGCCAGGCTGGCATCTCGGTCCCACCCTTTCAATTTCGAAACGGTTAAATGTAACCATCTCTTCTACTCAAACAGCTTCTTCTCACGCACTTCCCGTCTATGAAATTCCCTTCCTCTTGTTTGCTTCCATGATAACTATAATCTTCAAATATTCCAGTGTAATGTCAATCGACATCTGATACCTTGATCTTGTTCCCCGTCCTGCTTTGTATTCTTTCCACAAACATGTCTCTTTACTCTTGTTCTCAATCCTCTGTAACCCCTTTGCCTGCTAGTGGCACTCCCGCCTTGCTTGCGGTGAATTGCTTTAAAAAAAATCCCGATGCAATATATCCTTGTGGAGCAGTGAGATATCGATATCTACCCTAAGGCGTGATGAAAGTAGTGAAGTGCCTATTCTCTTAACGAATAGGAAGACTATGATATGCATTCCACGCATCGAAGCCTGCTTTCTTGGTCCCATGTGGGCTTGATGAAACGGGGACTGTCTGTGATGGGTTCCCCGGATAGCATGACCATTCTAAACCTAAAAGTCGACCGTACACCGAAGTGTGCCATTCTTCTTTGCGCATACTACCATACGATGGCACCATGTCACGGATTCCCCAATCGGTACAGGTTCTATTACGACTAGTTCAGCATCCTGATCAAGACCCGTCTTAACCGCATCTTGTCAATGAGAGGGGACGAGACCGGGTGTATAATGAGCAACGGCTTTGACCTGAGGGTTCGCCATAATCTGCATATGTGGTCCTTTCATAAAGAGTAAAGCCTGATGTTCATATGTTTTAAGTTTACTTGATTTGTATCGATCTAGTAGGTATTGCTGAAGATCCATACGATGTTCATCCGTAGCGCAGAATTTGGTAGGTATGACAGGTGGAGATACTCGTTTGGGGCAACCACATTTGATGACACGATTGTTGTCATTCAGTCCAATGGACTCCACGGGTGTATCACCTTTAATGTCCATTGCAGTGTTGACACAATCGAATGTACCATCGTTCATTGCTATATCTGCACCGTCAATTGTCTCATGTACAATATTCATTGAAGCATTAGCACTTTCAACAGTTTCTCCAAGTGTCGGAATGATCGTTGCAGTGATACCAAGTGAATACTTACCTTTCGACTAAGGAGTTGTCGATGATGTATACTATCTGCCGTGTCTCCTGTGCAGTGCCATCAAAGGTTTTGTCAGGGAAGACGAGGAGGGCGGCACACAGGAGCTTTATGCCTTTATTGTTAGCGACCTGCATTTTCATCGTCACTGGGATTAGATTGCGTTCAGTCTATCCCAAACAGTTTCCAACTGTGATACCAGACAACTTTGGAAGCCAGTATTAGCCATGGCTGAGATTGTAACGGTCTTTGTTTTTGATAGGAAGCTTGATTTATATCCAAAACACTTATAGTCATCTATTACAGTCGTTGCTGGGAGACTGACATAAAGTTGGGTTTTAGGTGTTTGTTGGTTTTATGTATCAGAAATGTTGTTGTATACAAGAACTTTATTAGTATAGACAGAGTTGAAGTCTGTAGAGGCATAGAGTGAATCTGGAATCTCGTCTACAGTCGCTCTCTCACAGACGTGCCATCGCCTCCCTCTGTCTTTTTTACAAATACTTTTATGGTAACTGTTCCGATGAGCTGCTTTCGCTGGTTCCCAGACTGCATGAATTCAAGCGTCCTACGAGGCTGGCATCCCGCTCTCACCCTTTCACTGTCGAAACTTAAATGTAGCCGTCTCTTCTACTCCAATAGCTTCATATCTCACACCTCTCGCCTGTGGAACTCCCTTCCCGTTTCATATTTCCCTGATAGCTATAATCCCCAACTATTGAAATGTAATGTCAATCGACATCTCCAGTTGCCTTGATCTATCCACTATCCTTCTCCTCATACTTTCCTCTATCACTCATATCTGCTCTCGCTCCAAATTCTCTGTAACCTCTTGCGTGCTAGTGGCTTCCAGCCTTGCTTGGGGGGAAATGCTTAATATATATATATATATATATATATATATATATATATCCAGAACACATTTAAAAAAAATTGTACCGTCATGCTCAATGGATTGTTTCTTCTTGGAACTTCTGCACATTGCGCACAGGTGATTAGCCTGGTTGCATTTTAAGCATGTTCGACAATATGCAACACATATTTTTTTATCTCGAATCCCAGGGCCAGATTTACCGCAGTATGGACACAATTCATGCTTGTCAAACTTTTTCGGAGTGAATTCCTGGGTCCTAGATTGTGCGCACTTCCTGTTGCGGCGATATAAGCTTACGGCCTCAGCATCCTGTGAATTCAGTAATTTGGATACCGAGTGTTTGCCAGCTTCTTCGACTTCAACAAACTTAAACGCTTCTTCTAAAGTCATGTTTTGGTTTTCAGCTCCAAGTAAGTCAAGTTGAATTTCCTGGTCATAGTCAACTCCAGCTTGTCCGCAAAATTTAGCACTAAAAGCTTGAACAGGTTCCTCACAATCTTCAGACATGTTATTTAGCGCCACACGTGTAACCACTGTATTCTCTTCTTTTACAGCTGACGAATTGCTACAATTACTTCAGCCTCTGATTTCTCAATCAATAAACTCCCCTATGCTTGTGTAAGATCTTTACGCAAAGTGTCATCACAGCACTCCAATAACTGAATAATTAGTTCTTTGCCAACAATCTTTGTTGCCTCCTTATAATCTTCCCATCTGGACAGAAAGTAAGTCCAGTCTTCGCTGGTACCAACAGATGTAGTCGTCGGACGTTTGACTTTTACTACTTTGACTGGCGTGGCTGAATTATGTATCATCGAATGCGTGGTGATCAGCGCAGCTACAATCTTTGTATCCAGGTCATCTATCTCGTATTTGCAAGCAGGGATTGGGCACAAGACATGTAGTGGACAGTTCATAAAATCTCCATCATAAATGGAAACCAAAAATGCTGTTTCGTTTATTCTTTATTTAAAATTACGAATGATAGACATCTGAAAATATATCATAAAGAAATTGAAATTAACATTACTATACATCGTGAGGTTATACATAGATATTCTCCTACAAACATAGATATATATAAACAGACTAATATAGATAGATATAAACAGACTAAAATAAATAAATAGATAGATAGATATAAACAGACTAAAATAGATAGATAGATAGAAAAACACTCATGCGATTTCATTTAGTTTCCCAACGCTTATGTTTTCTTTGTTTTAAAAATATCCCACACTGTGACAACATAAGATTTTATAAGAAAGGTGAAATGTTGCAAGAAGCAGGACGCAAATTTACTGTGGATGATTCATGACTTTCTCTACTTTTCGCCTGAGTTAATTATTTTTCATTTTAATTAAAGCAATATTTTTTCAGTTTCACTTATGGTCAGATTCATTAAGATGAACGACTAGTGCCTTGTTTGGTAAAGGAATTTTTTTCAATTCGTAAAAAGTCGTCAAATGTATTTTTAGCTCTCTTTCAAGTTATAATGTAAATTCTTGCTTCAGATTATTCCGGTGAAACGTATATTTCAAAATAGTTAAATTAGGTTTAAAAAGTAGGAGAGCATCAATGCAGAGAACATCATTTGCCCGAAAACTGGCTTCGTTAAATCGAATCTTCACTTCGTCAAATGTTAGAAAATCCAAGGGAGACAACTTTTAAATCTTTTTAAAATATACATCTTTTAAAAACAATAAACAAACAGAAAATAAAAAAATGAAAATATTGATTGACTTTGAAAATTATTTCATTGATGTAATTTAATTATTTGTTTTTATTTATTTACTTATTTATTTACATGTTCATTTTTAATATCTTTTCTGTTGTCTCCTTTGAGTGTACGAGCTAAAAAGTATTCAAGCATTTAATATTCATTTTTTTTTAAAAAAAAAAGAAGTCCTTCCTAGTGCAAAAGGGCTTTAGCCTTCTTCAATTACTACCCTTAGAGCATCACACCCTGATTCTACATTCCCTTCCACTTTTCAAAACTGCTTACAGTGTCCTCTTCCGGGATCACCATCAGCGTTCTACTTAATCTCACTTTTTTCAAGTTTTGTCTGACAGATCATTTGACTGACATATTTCACTGATAACAACACTGTACGAGACTTTGCCCGCTCATGGCAAATGCGACAGCCACACAGTAAACAAGCTCACTCAATGTCGTCTCATTGTTATTGTGGAAGCAATAGCAAAATACATCACCCGAAATTTTAAATATTTTTTAAATGCCTACGCATAATTCGTGCAAATATTGTTTCTTATACAACAAACTTTGATAATATTACATCTTCTTCTTTGACAGGCATACTAATTTCATTGAAAACTTCCATTTTTCAGAGATCTACCTTTAATCAACAGTAATAGTCGTAACTATATAATGATTTGAGAGCCAGGTATTTTATTTGCGGTAAATGTTAGATATCTTTTATTAGCATAAGCAATTATCAATTATTATAATTGTTTAGAAAGACATAACTTAAGACGAGTAAGAGTCAGGAATGATAAAATGGTTTTATGAGGAACATTATTTTAATCATTACACTGCAATCAAGGCAATAAAGCAATTAAAACGAAAGGTGTTACTGAGTGTCAAAGACTATTGGAGAAGAACAAATAATAAAAGAACACGACTTAAGAAGTCAAAACATAACTGACATTGCATTTAAGTTTTTGAAGATCAAAGTAGAAATGGAAGCAAGAATCCGGAGAGTTCCACGAGCTAGAAGTGTGACAGAAGAAACTGTTAGCAGAGAACTTACGGTTACATCTAGCCATTTCAACTGTAAAATGATGAGACCTTGCCGCAAATCTAGTGTGGAGTTACCCCACTTACTTTCCCAAAAAACGTCGCTAGAGGACGCTCCCTAAGCATATAAATAGATAGTGACATTCTCTGCCATCCTCTTTCTCCTATTAGGCCCAGTGATGGTAAAATGTAAGACGCGCGTATTTAAGAACGCCGCCGCTAAGTGACGTTCACCTCCCTTGATCCTCTGCTGATATTTGAACTATCTCACAAGCATGCATATATACTCATGTGTCTATCACACTTCTACACAAACACCTTCACTAGTTTAAATGTTTTCTTCATTCATGTTCATTGTATTGCCACATACAACAATCTTCTATTGTCTATGTATACCCTTGTTTGGTTAATACATACTTATCATTTGGTTCTATATATATAGTTTTGTCTTTGCTTTATTTATTTTATTTACAGGCCGAGTTCGCCATTAGTTTTCCAACTGAACATTCGACCAACACACCCGCAGCACTAGTACTGCGCTCAAATTCATAAAGTCTAGGTATCACTGAGGAAAGTTCATTGGAACAATTATCATGACAGTATTTATAGAAAAGGCACAGGGAAGCTACATTATGGCCGTGGGGAAAGTGACTGAAGCCAAGATGCCAGGTCAGGGCAAATAATATTGCATGGATTTTATCAATAATCTCTAAATACATAGCAAGAGCACCAAACGATATGTGGCAGCAATATTCAAAGTATGAACGAATGGTAGAGGTATAAATATGTCAGATAGATTCTTGAGAGAAAAAATGTCTCGCATGACATAGTGAAGCGACTACTTTTTAGCGGCTGACATAGAAATTGATTCAATATACTCTTTCCACTTAATATCATCAGAAAATGTTTTGTTTTGTTTTCCATTTCAGCCATTTTAAATTCCCAGCGAATCTCAGAATATCGCCATGCCATTGGTAAAATAGCAGGGCAGAATGGGTCTTATAGCCTTAGGTGGCCACCGGTGTAACAGAAGGACAACTCTTAATTCAAAACCTCGTGTGCGGAATTGGGCCTCCCAGATCATATTCCATGGTCTTTGGCTGTCAGTCAAGAGCTTGGAGAAGAGATGTGCGCCACCAAGCTATCAGAAAACCCAATGAAAGGATCATGACAAAAAAGAATTAGAACCTGTTTCTTTTTTCCTCAAGTCTCCTCCACCCCGACGACTGAAGAAGTCGAGGGTTAAAAAAGTGTATATATATATATATATATATATATATATATATATATATATATATTATAAATTAATTGATTTAAAATATGTTTTTTTCGCTACACAGTTCTAACCATGTTTCAAAAATGGAAGCTAAAAGCCCCGAATTTAATTTTGTAATTAAATTAAAAACATTAGTTGAATTTCATCCTCTTTGACGGAAAAATTAAATTCAGGGCTTTTAGCTTCCATTTTTGAAACATGGTTAGAACTGTGTTGCGAAAAAAAACAT